GGGTGGGGGTCCCTGCTGTGTCGGAGCGGCTCCTGCTGTTCGCACCCCGCCAGGTGAGTCTGGAGGATCCCAGTTAGGAGGGGGGGGAAGCCTCCCTTTCTCTCCCGCAAAGCCCCTTTTGTAAACCACCTCCCCTTTATAAAAAAGAAAACCCCTTCCTACTGTCCCAGTTAGGAGGGGGGGGGGCCTCCCTTTCTCTCCCGCCAAACCCCTTTTGTAAACCACCTCCCCTTTGTTAAAAAAAAAAACCCTTCCTACTGGCAGTGATTCCCCCCTCCATATCTTCAATTTCAAACTGCTTTTCTAATTAAAACTCTTCGTTTATTTTTGCAGGGACAGACCCTGGTTAGGTTTATGAAACCACGGTTCTCCCACCTCCCTCGCCTAAGCTCCTGATTGCAACCCTGGTCAGCCATTTCCCTTTGGGGCCAAGAGCAGGAGACGGACAGGGACACACACACACACACACATATACACACAAACATCCCTCAAGAGCAGAAGCAGGACCTTCCATGCTTTTGCCCCCAACACACACACACACACACACACACACTCTTCCCTCAAGAGCAGAAGAAGCAGGACCTTCCATGCATTTACACCCCCCCCGACACACACACACACACCTCCCTCCCTATATGAGCATTTTCTCACACACACACACTTTCTTCCCTCCCTCCCTATATGAGCATTTTCACACACACACACATATCCCTCAAGAGCAGAAGCAGGATCTTCCATGCATTTGCCCCCCGACACAAATTCCCTCAAGAGCAGAAGCAGGACCTTCCATGCATTTGCCCCCAACACACACACACACACACACACACACTTTGTTCCCTCCCTCCCTATATGAGCATTTGGAGGTCCCCGGTCTCTGTATAGGGAGCCACCACTAATTGTTTTTATCTTGTTATTAGTTATGTGAAACATGGTGATTCCCCCCCTTCTCCTTAGCCAAAAAGGAGCAAATTAAAGCTTGTGTCCCCGGGGATAAAAACAAGGCAGCCCCTCCCTGTGGCTTTATAATCTAAAAATATATGGTACAGGTATGCAAAGGAAAGGGATGGATATGTTACAGGGGGAAAAAGATAATCATAATGCTAGTTGGCCATTTCTGTATTTGGACTAAAAGGGCATAATTTTTACACTGCCCATCCAGTGAAAAGTCACTGCCCTGGTTGGTTTCCAACAGCCATAAAACATGGTCACCCTCCCAACCCATAAAGTGTAAAATTAAAAAATTAAACCCTCAGCCAAAATAATAACAGCAAACAACAAAACGGTGTGGTGGTAAATGAGGTAAATGATACAGTGGAGGGTGAACAGAAAGCTACCAAAGGAGAAAGATAGCAACGGAAAGTTTCTTTTTAAAAGCTCGGTCTTAACTGAGTTGCGAAAGGCCTGGAGGGAGGGGACCTGGCTAACCTCGGAGGGGACTGGATTCTGTAGAGGCAGGGCTGCCACCGAGAATTGACCCCTTCCAGACCTCCTGGCACCCGTAACAGAAAAGCCTGTGAAGAGCAGGTGGCATGTGCAGCAGTTCTTTGGGGGAGACACGGCAACAGGTATCGAGGTCCCCAAACTATGTAGGACTTTGTACATCAACACCTTGAATTTGGCACAAATTCAATTTTGTGCCAAATTTGGCACAGGGAGCCTGTGCAAGCAGGCCAGGATTAAGGTAATACCATTAAATGTGGAAGCTGCGGCTTCGGTATCATCCTCAAGGGCACTCTCATGTAGTCTCAAGAACAGTGGTCCTTGTTTTGCGTCTTGAGTGGCTCATATCCAGAGGTAAAATGTCTCAAGCAGGTGGTTCTGGGTAGCTTCTATAGTTGATAGCATTTGATAGACCTTTGGCTCATATCCAGAGGTAAAATGTCTCAAGTAGGTGGTTCTGGGTAGCTTCTATAGCATTTGATAGACCTTCTTAAGAGTGTCCTGATAGATCATATCAGCCTTCTCCAACCTGGTGTTCTTCAAATCTTTTGTACGGCAACTCCCATCATAGTGGTTGGAGAAAGCTGACAAGACCTATGCACAGATAAAATGTGTGGCCTGTGATAGCAGGAGATCAAGTAGAACTTTGTGGATAGAACTAACGTCATTGTGTGACATTGCACATCAAGTGACCCTGCGCTCATAACCAAATGCATGTAGGTCTCTTCCAGGAACCATGATCTCTGAAAGTGGCTCATTTGTGAAGGGCCTGATGCTCGGAGGGATCTTCTGCATCTTGGTTACTCTCCTAGGACATATTAAGATGGGCCATACCACTAAACCCCATGAGCACCGCCATCTCCAGGCTCCAAAAAAGGAAGACATTTTAAAACTTTCCAACGACGAGCGCCTGGAATTGAGTCAGAGCATCCGTGTTTATTGCATCATCCTTGTGAAGCCTAAGGATCTGGGGCACTGGGCGGCTGCGAAGGACACGTGGAGCAAGCACTGCGACAAGGCAGAGTTCTACAGTTCGGAGAAAGTCAAGGTCTTCGATTCGATTGTGCTCGACACGGATGACATGTGGACAATGATGAGAAAGGCCTATAAGCTCGCCTATGAGAATTATAAAGATGACTATAACTGGTTTTTTCTGGCTCACCCCAGCACTTTTGCCATTATTGAGAATCTGAAATATTTCTTGCTGAAACAGGATGCGTCCCAGCCGTTTTACACAGGCCGGACAGAGACATCTGGGGACCTCGAATATGTGAACGGAGACGGAGGAATTGTCCTAAGCGTTGAGTCTCTCCGGCAACTTTACAAGGTTTTTGATAATCCAGATAAATGTCCTGAACAGGGGGGCATGATCTGGAAACTCTCGGCAGATAAACAGCTAGCGGTCTGCTTGAAATACAGTGGGATACATGCCGAAAATGCAGAGGATTCTGAAAAAAAGGACATTTTCAACACCAAGCCAATTGGTACTCTCATTAAAGAGGCCATGTCCAGTCACCCCCAGGAGGTGGTGGAAGGCTGCTGTTCAGATATGGCCATCACCTTCAGTGGGTTGGCTCCTAGTCATATGCATGTGATGATGTACGGGGTTTATAGGCTCAGAGCCTATGGGCACAGTTTTAATGACGCTTTGGTCTTCCTACCTCCTCTAGGCTCAGATAACGATTGAAGACTCTCACACTGGCCGCTGCGTAAAGTGTGCAAGTCTTAATCTCTTGTGTCCCTCAGCAAATGGCATGTACACAAGCTGGTACAAATTTTGTATTTCATGGTGTTGGTGTGTTAACTATTTTTTGCACAACCTGCTTTTATTATCTTTACAAATGGGAAAGGGGATACTCTTTTTAAAAGCAAAACAAAGCCCCTTTTATACAAATTTTTCAGTGGCACCTGAAAAACTGCTCCAAGGATTGTCAGCAAATGTGTAGCGGGTATGTAAATATTTGAAATCAAAAACTATCCATCTGTTGTAAATTAAATCTATTTTTGCAGATTTTGTGTGCTTTATCCTTCATAACCTATAGCTTTTCTAAAGTGTTAAAACTGAGATGGAAAATGCTGGTAGCTTCCTCTGTAGGCGATCGTAACCTAGTTTAGAAACTAATCATTTTTGTTCTCATACCTGGCAATAAATACATGGCAGTATAAATTTGCTAAGAACACAGAACAATAGTGCCTATGCATTTTCAGAACTTTTGTGTGCTTTATCCTTCATAACCTATAGCTTTTCTAAAGTGTTAAAACTGAGATGGAAAATGCTGGTAGCTTCCTCTGTAGGCGATCGTAACCTAGTTTAGAAACTAATCATTTTTGTTCTCATACCTGGCAATAAATACATGGCAGTATAAATTTGCTAAGAACACAGAACAATAGTGCCTGCGGATTTTCAGAACTTGGAAAAGTTACTTTCTTCCAGAAGCCATACAGGCTGAGGGTTTCTGGAAGCTATCAATAAAAACTACTTTTCCAAGTTCCACCTAGGCCGGCTCTTTTATTGTATGAGCAGTAAAAAGACTCTTCCAGTATATTTAAGGCATGGTAGCATTTTTATTTCTTTCAGGTCAGGCTTGGGGTATCCATCTTTGGCTTCCTGGACAATTTGGACTTCACCGTCCACAACTTTCAGAGAGTATGGCCAATGGTCAGGAAGGCTAGGAGCTGTCATTTAAAACTTGGAGGCCCCACTCCCAAACCCTGTTGTAGACAATGCTGTTACTTTATGCTCTGCCCTTCACATGGGACTGGTCACATGACCAATGTCGCAGACAAATGAAGGGAAGAAACTCTTGCGTCAAGTGTCACTCCCAAACCCTGTTGTAGACAATGCTGGTACTTTATGCTCTGCCCTTCACATGTGACTGGTCACATGACCAATGTCGCAAACAAAGGGAAGAAACTCTTGCGTCATTATGTAAGTCAAGTGTTTCTCAAACTTAGGTCCCCAGATGTTCTTGAACTAAAACCCCCAAGAAACCTTCCTTCACCAATAATTGTGCCTGTTGTAGACAATGCTGTTACTTTATGCTCTGCCCTTCACATGGGACTGGTCACATGACCAATGTCGCAGACAAATGAAGGGAAGAAACTCTTGCGTCAAGTGTTTCCCAAACTTAGGTTCCCAGATGTTCTTGAACTAAAACTCCAGAGAAACCTTCCTTCACCAATAATTGTGCTGGCCAGGATTTCTGGTAGCCCAATTTCTAGGAACCCAAGGTTGGGAACCGCTGGTGTAAGCAAACAACACTCTATACACAGCATAAATGCATTGTTAGAACTGGGTGAAGAACTCCCTTTTTATATTAATTTTGCAAACAAAATGGATACTCTCATTTATTGGTAGGTATAGTTTAGAAACAATGAGAGCCAAAGTACTTTGCCGTAAGTGATAAATTGATATTGGCAAGGCAGCTCTGAGGATAATTAGACGGGCTGCTCTTTGGAGTACTGCAGGAATGGGCTGGTGTACGGCTAAAGATGAAAATCAGACAACATCTTTGCTAGAGCGCCCCAGCCTGTCCCTACCCACATCTTTCTGGCTCCTGTCAAAGACCACCTACTTTTCTGAGGTGGGTCGCGTTGAGTGTATGACTCTTGGAACGAATCCAAAGCATGCCCTTTTCAATTTGGCAGTACCATGTAATGGCTTATTAAGCAAGCCACTCCAGGATTTTGGCAAATTAATCACCTCCCCTACGCAGCAGAGGGGCAGGGGAAGTGAAATTTGTATACTGACTATCATTGACAAGCTACATTAGTTATAAAAAAATTGAAATCTTGTCTTTGCCTCAAAGGGCTGGTTGAGAAAACTCCCAGTTAAATCCACAGTGGTGGCTTCAGCTGCAGTTAAGTTTCTTCAACCACTTAAAGAAAAGACAAAATATTTTTATATATGTAACGAATGCAGCATGGTAGCAATATATGACACCAACATTTTCTATAAACTCTTTCACATGAATAGGGAACAATGCACTCTGCATCCACAGGTATTTCTGGAGTACAGCGGACAAGGCTGCAGATCAAAAAGAGCTCTTCTTAACGGGGTGGCTGTGATCCATCCTTGCTTAGATTTCCTCTTTCTGAACTGTAAATTTTCCACTTCCTTCTCTACTTGGGATCAAGAAAGCCATCTCACTATTTTTTTAAAAAAACAGCTTTGAAAACCTAACTGAAAACAGGCAGGTTTTTTAAAGTAACAACTGTGTGTATACAAAACAGTTTCAGCTACTTACTGACTTCAATGTGCACTTGATTTATTTAGCATAGCCACAGAACAAAATAAATTTGTACATTCAGTCACACTTTAAAAACAGAAGAATTACAAAGTAGTCCTTATTGACAGGAAGTGTGTTCCCTTGGAATGGCACACTTGCTGCTGTGTCACTTGTACGTCTTCATATGCCACAGACCATCATTTAAATAGTGGATATTTTCAATGCCAATCCCTTTGTTGACTTTCTCTCTGTAAAGGGGGGGGAGAGAGCAGAGAGCAGAGCAAAACATGAATTTCAAGATTTCCACTGACGATAAGGTTAGAATGCAGCTGAACAAGATCTGCTTCTGAATTAACTAGTTAAATTAAGAGATTCTTCCAATGCCATGAGGTGCAGTCTTCAAACTATAGGGGCCAGGATCCATAAGGGCAATTTCACATGTAGTTGCCCACAGTGGCCTCTGTTAGTCACACAACTAGCCACGTGCCCTATTACAGACCTTCAATACCAGAGGGTAGGCTTACAACTCCCATTAATCCTAGCTAACATAGTCAATGGGGAGATACTATCAGATTTGCCATTTGAAAATATCTGGAAGGTCCTAGCTGCTCACTCTTGTCTTACATGATGCTTTAACCATTAAAGCTTAAAGTGAATCACAGTTCCTCTACCTCCCTGAATATTGATCCTATTAGAAATTCTGCTCTTTTATCTATAATTTCAGTGTGGGTTTGTTTTTTGTTTCTAAATCAACATAATGATTTCCAGGGATAGCTGGGTAGCAGGAAAGGAAAATGATAAAAGGTAGTTCAGTCACCCTCAGATAATCAAATTGGGTAACCTGAAACTGCCTTATTCCAAACTGAACTATGATCCATCTAACCTGGTATTTTTGCATCTGAAAGTCAGACGCTCTTTCAGGAGAGCAGTGAGCAAATGTGGCAGGCCACAGGGCCAAAATTCAACTCCAGCATCCAACGTCAGTTGCACCTGCAAGAGCCATGACTATATCTAGGCTGTTGACAGAAGGTGCTAGGAAGAAGGTGCAGGTTAAATTATAAAGGCCAAGGCACAATTTCCATATCACTAGTGCAATTAGCCACCTAGAGTGGTCTTTTAGACCAGATGGGCGGGGTATAAATCAAATAAATAAATAAAAATAAATAAATAAATCAGAATCAGTTTGAAGTAGTTAGCTCTATAGTATTTTATGTCAATCTGGACTGTTTCACTCTAAACAGCAGCAAAGAACGTGGTTGTTCTTTTAAAAGACTCACATATCATCTGCTGACATCTTCATGACTCCAACACACAGGGCATGTTGCTTGCCTTCTGCCATTATTGCCTACAACCGCCAGCTGAGGAAAATATCTCAATATACAGTGGTTGGTTGGTTTTAAAGCAGCAATAGAAAAATGAAAAGGAATGTATGAATCTAAGCTTGCAGAATATTATACAGCAATAAAACACATATAACATAACTTTGGAATACATGCACCCCTCTATACTTGACTTGCAGCGGTCTCCCATCTTAAGGTACCAATCATGTCTTCAGCCATGCTTTTGTATTAACTGTTCCCAATTTCATGCCCTCTGAGACATCTGCTAGTTCTCTAATGGGTCCCTGTCCCCCAAGGAGAAATAGGTACCCCCTTGGAGCGGCAATTACCACATAGATCTATAAAGCCTTCACATTTATTGCAATTTCTACAGGCCAAGATGCTAAGAAATGTGCAAAATAAATATGATTTCCATAATGACCCACAACGACTAGCTGATGTCTCACATTACAAAGGTAGCTGGCTATCACATAATGGGATACTCCAAATGTTCCTTTCCGAGAAAAGGTTTTTCTTTTAAAGCTAGGATTCGCAAATCATCTGCATTACCATTACAATCACCAATTTTAGTTAAAGAGAAACATTACAAAATGGATTTTCAGGCTGTAACCCAAGAGGTCAATGAAGAAGGTGAATTTAAAAAACTGAACACTGTTTAAAAGAAGCCACATGTGTTTTCAATACAGCTGGCCCCAGTACATGCTACGGGTGAAAAAAGAAACCATGGGTAACAGACAGCAACTATCCAAGGATACCACAATCGTATCAGCAGCAGCAGGATAAAGTTTCGCTCCTGGAGACGTCAGGCCAGGACACATTATATTTGCTCCACTAAGTACAAATTTAATGGCTCCTTTATCAACTTGTTGATGTGGTAAAATGAACGGATCTAGGAAGAGAGAAAGGTTTGGCAAAACAGATATAACACTGACAGGCATCAGTAGCATTTCTCTAACATGTTGGCCATTTAGCTTGCATAAACCAGTGTATACTTAACATACAAACAAAATGGAAAAAAAGTAAAAATTGTATCTCTAGTTTAGGTAATCCATGTGCCCTTAGATGGCTTTAAAGTGAAATATCCCATGGTCTTTCTACATAGTCCATCCTCTGACCAAAATAATAAATCTTGGTCCATAACAACATCAGCAGAAACTAAAATCTGTCTCCCCAATTTTTAATTGTTGTTGTTGTTCAGTCATTTAGTCGTGTCCGACTCTTCATGACCCCATGGGTCAGAGCACACCAGGCCCTCCTGTCTTCTACTGCCTCCCGGAGCTGGGCCAAATTCATGTTGGTCGCTTAGATATTTTCATTTAGATATTTTCAAAAATGAGTGAAGAATTAGCAATGAATTCTATCAAACCGATCACAGAGGAGAAAATGAAGTTCCAAAAAAAACAGTCATAAAATTCACCAGTACAACCAAAACGTCATAGATGAATCACCCCAGAAACCAGATACAAGGGCAACGTACAAACATGAAGAAGTCTGATTCCCATTTGTTAGACTCAAAGTCCCTGGGAATACACTTTCTCAGATGATCTCAATTAATAGCATGTATGCTGACAATTTGCCTTCAGGATACAGATCTCAAGCCATACAGAGGTCAAAGGCAGCAATTTATACTTTCTTTATCCAGCTGCAAATCTCTTTATTCTTTGTTTAACAGCAGCAGCTGACTCTGAAGTTCCCTGTACTTACTGGATGCATAACATATGGATCCTGTTGAGGATTCACAATATTACTTTCTGATACTGGACATATTCCAGGAACTTTTTGAGCTCCCTATCTGCAGAATGCAAGCAATGATTCTTATTCAACAAAATAAAAAACGAAGAGGAGGAGAAGCAAACCATACAGGTCAGGAGCACTAAGAAAATACATCTTTGGCTATTTGCAAGGAAGAAATTGAGAAGAACAGAAGAAGTGAAGCAAACTGAAGGAATGCCTCACAGACCAAAAAAAAAAAACAATCCTGTAGGGCTCAGGAAAGGAAAAAAACATTTAAAGAAGGTCAAACAACTATTATATATTAAACAAAAGCAAAACGAAAACAATAAACACCAAGTTTTCAAAGTAAGGAGAGAGCATGTGTCAAGCTATGTGAATTGAAAAGAAATCTGGAAAACTACACAGTGCAAATTGGGAATAGCCACACTACAGCATGCAAAATATTAGAAAGAAATTTACAGCTTAATAAATATGCAGAACGGTGAGCTAGACAATGTTTTTGAATCTTACATGCAGACATGAAAAATCTATCCCAAAAGTTATTTGTGTATGCTAATATTGCAAAACAGCAAATTGTAGATACAGCAACGCTTTCACTGTCTCACAGTGAGCCCTTGTGTTTTCTCCAAAGCACTTACATTTATGAAGTAATCTCAGTGTGGGATAGAAAGATCCCTCTCTTTGCCTGAAGAACAGCAATTCACCGTTTACTGTAAGGATTTCTATATGTTCATGGCTGCAATAAACAAAGTCAATTAAACTTTTTGCAGCTTGTTTTCAAAGTAGAAAAAAGAAACAATGTCTCTACTCTGAAAATAATAGAGTGTTTTTTGCATATGTACAGCTTTTTATGTGTTTCATTAAACAGAAATGTTTCCATACTATATTATCTACATCAACTCCTTTCTACAGAAAAAGAAAAATCACAATCAGGGACAAAAGCATTCCTAGATTATTTATCACTGTATACACCAAAAGCAAGAATTTACATGCTAATATTTCAATTAGTCTTGGAATATTGGAAAGACTTAACCAGTCTGATCCATTAAAAATACTACTATTGATAGTCAATTAGTCTTGGAATATTGGAAAGACTTGATCAGTCTGATCCAGACTATTGATATTCTAACAATATCTCACTGATATGGGAAAAAATCATGGTACAAAACATGAAAGCCACTCGTACTACCCTGAAGATAATATTTACCATCGTACTATCTTCACTGGGTCTTTCTTTGGCATGATTTGGTTTAGCCATGGTTCAATACCAGGAAACTGATCTATCAGCTGGTTCTTGATGCCTTTAATAACAGATGTCTTCAGCTGGATACAGTTGGACACATTCTCCTTTTCATCAAATCTGTCAAATAAAAAGAATTTTGAGACTTACCCCAAGGTAAGTGTAGAGGGGAATGTAAAGCATTATTTCTAAGTCAGCCAAATATTTTAGAGCACACATTATGAGCAAGAAAGGAAATCTCTGGTACCTATAAATTAGTGATGTACACGTTTAAACAATATTACATTATTTTACAAAAGTATACACCTTCATTATACATGCCCCTTCTATTTTACACAACCATGTGATTAGGCAAACCATAATAATCAGAATAATTAGGAAAACACACATTTAAACCCACCACCACCTGACCGCAAAGATTACCAGGTGACTGTAGACCAGTTTTACACTCTTTCACCTCACAGGATTCATGATACAACAGGGTGGGCAGAAAGAAGACCAAAACAAACAAACAAAAGAAACAATACTATATACACAACCTTTCTATTTATTTGTGAACTGTCTATCCTGTTTTTCTTCCAACTAGCTCAATGCAGCATACATACTCCTCCCCATTTTCTTCAAGGTAGAAGATAGCAACTGGCCCAAGATCACCTTGGGAGTTTCACAGCTCAGTGGAGAAAAGAACCAGCATATCCTCTCAATCCAACACTCTTAACAGCTACACCAAACTACCATGTTTTCCCAAAAATAAGACAGGGTCTTATATTCATTTTTGCTCCAAAATGCATTGGGACTTATTTTCAGGGGATTTTTTTTCATGTACAAAAATCTACATTTATTCAAATATTGTCATCTTCTGGTTGCTGCACAATGGTGGCGGGTGGGGTTTCACTGAACTGGGGCTTATTTGGGGTTTTTTTTTGAGCAGCCTAAAAAACCATACTAGGGCTTATTTTCAGGTTAGATCTTATTTTCGGGGAAACAGGACAGTTCTTGAGCTCCAAGCAACTTCAACAGAAACTCAGTAAATAAAATGTAATGTAATTTAATGTAATTTAATGTAATTTAATTTATTTGATTTATACCCTGCCTATCTGGACTACTGGTCCACTCTAGGCGGCTTCCAATATAAGACAAAACAATAAAACACCAGAATATACATAATCCTTCAACGACAATTACAATAAAAAGAAAAAAAAATAAGAAGGGAAAAATAGAAAAGAATCAGGTATTAACTGGAGGGAAGGCCTGGATATACAACCATGTTTTTAATTGGGTTTTAAAGATGCCCAGCGTAGGGGCCGCGCCACCTCTTTCAACGAGGTCCTAACAAGCGGCATATCTGACATGGTCAGTCCTAGTGAAGCTCTCGAGAATCAAAAACTGAAATAGGAAGACACTTTTAAATTTTAAAATAACAATTAAAATGTACTCCCCCCTCCCATGTCATTCACCAATGTAGTCTCATACATATACGTTATTTGCTGTAAAGGTGGCACCGACCCATAGCGATCCTAACATGGTTTTTTAAGGTGAGATATTGGAAGTAGTAGTTTTATCTGTGCTACCCCACCCCGTACCCCCCCCACACACACACACATACACACGTGTGAGTTTCCACGGCTCAGCGGTTCGGGGGACCCACAGCTATGCTGAATCGGTCTCCACATACATAGAAGTCAAGGGAGGAAAGGTCAGAATCAGGCCCCTTCCCCACCCCCACCAGTTCCTGCCTATCCCCCCCACACTCACTTCTTGAACATCCTTGGGGGGAAGGGTCCCGGTCCCCGAAAGACCGGGTGGGGCGAGCGCCTGGGAGGGTGGGGACTGACACCCCCGGCTCCCGAGTCGACCCTCCTCTTCACACCCACGGGCCCGCTCCCGGCCCCACACCAGGCCCCGCAAGCCCGCCCTTCGCTTCTGCACCAGGCGGATTAAAAAAGAACCCCAGGAACTCCTTTACGGCCGCGTCGTCGTAAAGTGCTGTCACTTAAGCCGCGCCTCTTCCCTTGCGTTGGTGGAAAGGGCGAGGCGAGTTCCCAGCAGGCTGTGCGCGGCCAGCACGCCGCCGCCCCTTGCGCTGAGCCGCAAGGCCCGCCCTAGCCACGTTCGACGTAGCCGTTGCTATGGCGACGCATGATCCGCTTATCTTGGGCCTTAAATTAGAGTTACCAAGTGGCTGCGACCCCGTAGTAGCAATCATAACGATTACAAGGCCGGAACAAGAATGGCCCGGAATAAGTACGCATAAACTTCCAACCAAATTATGTGAAATCGTAACATTAATTAACAGAATAAAATCACTGGTTAAAAACAACTTGGACTCATCCTTTAATGGCCCCTATGCATGTTACCACCTGGTCAGGTTTATATTGATACTCAATATAACTGAACTATGGGATATCCAGATACCACATATATCTGGAATACAGTATATTCCTTGCTGTTTCTGGAATAAATTTGTGCTACCTCGAATTAGCTCAGGAGGCGGCTATGAAGGCTGAGGAGTCCTTGCCCCCTTCCCACAGAGAGTTTCAGAGCTCAGGGGAAAGCAAAAAAAAAAAGGCAGAGGACTGGGCTGCTTTCAGATATGACAGCTGAATAACAGGTATGATCGTCCAACATATCTGAAATATACCGCTTTAGGCAGGGGTGGTCTACTCTAAAGACAACAACAGAATTAAGGATATACAAAAGCCAGGGTAGTCAGCATAAACCACCAGCTACAGTGGGGTCCAGACCAGTGGCTCTCTGTTGAGAGAGCTTGTGTCCTTCACTTGTACCTTGGCAAAGAAACTAGGGCACGAGAGAGCCTAACCGCTCCCCGCCTCCTGGTGGATTAAAAATTGTCCCCATGAAATCCCAGATAGTTGCACTACACATCTGATTGGCAAGGCACTACCCTGGTAATTAATACATTAATATGCCTGTAAATTAACAACTTTGCAGACAGAAAATATGGTCCATTTAGAGTATTATTATAATACTTTTTATTCTGCATACCTCTACATTACTAGGCCTAATACAATAGACACAAACCTCCTCCAGATCCTGTTTGATTCCCAGAACCAAACTATGAACCTGGACCCAATTTCAGAACCACTTAACCCTTTGCAATTGTTCTGAACACTTTATCTACCTTTGAGACTTGTGTCTGATTTCCTTCAGAATTGATAGGTTTGTTCTCCCTTGCAGCCCAGGGGACTCTCAAGAGTCTCTTCCAGCACCACAATTCAAAAATTCATCAGCGTTCAGCCTTGTTTATGGTCCAGCTCTCATTTCCATATATCACTACTGGAAAAACCATAGCTTTGACTATACGGACCTTTGTTGGCAAGGTGATGTCTCTGCTTTTTAAGATGCTATCTAGCTTTGTCATCACTTTCCTCCTCCCAAGAAGCAAGTATCTTTTAATTTTGTGGCTGCTGTCACCATCTGCAATGATCATGGAGCCCAAGAAAGTAATAGTATATATCACTGGCTCCATATCTTCCCCTTCTATTTGCCAGGTGATGGGACCAGTGTCCACGATCTTAAGGTGTTTTTTTTAAATAATGTTGAGCTTCAGACCATTTTTGCACTTTCCTTTCACCCTCCTTAAGAGGTTAATTCCTCCTCTACAAGGATGTCCACCAAGTCCAAACCCTAACTCCACAAAGGATGGAGCTGCCCTGTGTACCTCCTCCTTCCCTTTCTAATGTCTGACAAGTGCTTGCATCCTCCCCAGGTCACTGGCTGAGACTCCACTAGTCATAAAGAAGCAGCAAAGTTTGAGCAGTTGAGCATGCTGCTAGACCTTCTTAAGCCAAGCATCATTTACTATTTCAGGATATTTTAGCAGGTTTCCCCTTATGTCCATCCCACAAGTCTGCTTCTTTCTCTATTTTTGCCTTGGTTTAGCCAGAATCTAAGGAGAAGCCCCATTTCAAGACTTTTCAGTTCCATATAGTGAGGGGTTCTTACTGCTGCTACTGTTGCAGTTCCAGAATCCCACTGAGGTTTATGTATTTGTTCAGTCTCTCCACCAGGGAAGGTCCTATGTTCACCTAAGTATGACACAAGATAACACGAACAACATATGCTCTTTTTTCTGTTTCCCTAAATATATTTTGCTCCTGTGGCCCATCATTTCTACCAGAACATTTTATCCTTGTAACAACCATGTTTTGGTGGTTGGCCTGAGAGAATTATTAAGTAGCAAGCTCCTCTGGAACCAGTAGGACAACTTATAAAAGATACTAGTTAACTCCTACTCATAGGAATCCTACTGATAAGACATTAAATGCAACTACATCTAACATGCAGATTTTTTTAAATGAAAAGGAGTTAATTGAAGGGCATGATGATCACTATATATTCACTATTATCAGTGTGCAAAGAGCAAAATACACCATTAAAAGAGCACTAAAGTGAACTTGTGTCCTCTGGCTCTTTCCTAATAGCAACTTTAAATCTGTACAGCAAACTTAAGTAGCTTCAATTTTTTTTATTTAAATAAGTACTGTTCTCATGTAGCATCTTTACTTCCTGATGCCTGCTAACCATTAATATAACAAACTGCTCCTATTACTTCCATAATTGGAATTAACGTTGATCCTAGCTATTAGAAGTCATTTTAGAGAGTTAGAAGCAATTTAGCAATAAATAAAATTAATGGGCGTGGGAGGGGAGGTTTATGAACAGAACCTTGGAAATGTGTGTTTGTTTTTCAACGATCATTTCTAGAAGCCCTCAGCCTGCTATCCCAGTAGATAACAGGATTCTGGCTGTTATTGTCCAAAACAGTTCTGCCCGTACCTATTTACATCTTTTAGGGTTTTTTTTAATTAAAAAAAAGAGTCTAAATGAATTGGAAGGTCCGTCTGAGTTGCCCGCAGGCCTTCTTTGATATCAGAGGATGGAAAAGGGGTCGGGGGGGGGGGAGGCGCCAAACTCTGCAACAGAGCCACTGCAAAAAAAAAAAAATGTCTTCTTCGCCCAGGATGCAAAACGAAAGCAAAGCAGGCGAGGCGAGGGCGGAAGCCGAGGAAATCCCCTCCCCGTTTTCCCCCAATCCACCCCATCCTGACCAGGAAAGAAAAAAAGAAGAAGAAGAAAACGGGGGGACACGCCTCCTCCTCGCCCAGCTGCCTGGAAGGGGAGAAAGAGGAGGCACCGAGCGGCGCGCCAGAGAGCCTCCCTCCTGCTGCTCCTGCCGCCGCCACACGTGAGGCCCTCTCCCACCTAAGGAAGCCCGCGGGGCTCAGTCCAATGGGAATCCAATCCCCAACGCGGACCTCGGAGGGGGAAAAGCCGCCACAAAGCCCGAAAGACCGCCAGCGCAACAGCAGGCGCGGCTACGGGAGCCGGCGAGGGCCAAGACGCACCCTGCCCACCGCGGCCCTCGCAGCCGAGGCCGGGCGGCGGCGCCGACTCTTCCCTTAAAAAAAAAGAGCGCGAGGCCGCCCGACGACGACGAACCCCAACCTCCTCCTCCCCCCCCTCCTTTCTCCGACCATGGCTGGGCGCGCGCGAGAGCCGCTGCTGCCGCCTCAGCAGCAGCAGCAGCCGCAGCCCGGCAACCCGATCACTTCCGGTAGGTCAAAGGGCGAAGGGAAAAAAACGGGTGCCAGGGAGCGCGATGAGGCGAGTGAGGGGGGGAGAGAGGCGGTAAGGCCTCTCGCTGAGTGGGCGGGCGGGCGAGGGAGAGGGGGCGAAGGGAGGACGGCGGAGTCTGCCTTCCCGCCCTCTTCGGTCCCCCCCGAGTGAGGCGCTGCGGGGAGGTGCCGGAGCCTTTTCGGAGCGGCCCCCGGCGGCGGCGCCGCTTCCGGGCCCTCGGGTCTCCCAGCATGCCGAGCGGCCGGATGTGCCGCCATCTTTTAGGCTCCCTGCCTCTGCTGTACAATAACAAGCTTGCCAAGCCTAACCTAGCGGGCTCGTCTTCCCCTCTCCCGGCCGCGAAAGAGGAGGGGGGGAGTGAGAAACGCGGGGGGCAGCGAGGGTGAGAGAGAGGGGAGAAAGGGAGCTCGACTCCCCCCCTCTCCTCAGGAGAGAGAGGCCGCCCTCAGGCGGAGGGGGGGACGGGAGAGAGAGAGAGAGGCGGAGAGGACCCTGCTTGTCTCTGGCCGCTGAGAACGGGGCAGGATTCGTAAGGGGAGTCTGAGGGGGAAAGGACAGGTGTTGGCGCCCGAACCCCTTGGGGACGACCAGAAATCCGTGAGGGAAACCGACAGGCAGACCGAACCGAGCTGAAGAGAAGACCAGTCGGCGGTTCCCTCAGGCGAGGGGAGGGCGGAGGACCGGCTGGCAGGAAGGGAAGGCTCCCTTTGGACCCCGACGGCGAGGCAGAGATCGTCTGTGGCCAGCTCTGCGCCCCTTTCTGCGTGTCTCTCACACCAGAAGGATTTGATGCCCTTCAGCCTGCTCACCTCTGTGGTGTTCATGTTTCCCACAGGTTTCTCTTCCCCCAACCCCTCAGCAGCAGCAGCTCAGGAGGTCAGACCCGCCACTGATGGTAGCAGCAGCAGCTCCTCCTCCTCCTCCTCTAAGAAGCGAAAGCTGAACAGTAATAGTGCCAATAGTGAGAGAGAAGAAGTCGAGTCTATCTCCTCCTGCTCGTCCCTTTCCAGAAACAACAACTCTTCCACATCCTCTGTCATCACCTCCAACTCTACTGCCTCCTGTTCCTCCTCAGGGGTTGCCTCTTCCAACCATCATCTGCAGAAGAAGTTACGCTTTGAGGACTCCTTGGATTTTATTGGACTTGATGTGAAGATGGCTGAAGAGTCTTCCTCTTCTTCACCCGCTGCCTCCTCGCAGCAGCAGCAGCACCAGCAGCAGCTCAAAAACAAAAGCCTTTTAATTTCCTCTGTAGCTGTGGGACACCACGCAAATGGCCTGACCAAAGCTGCCTCTTCCACTGTCTCCAGTTTTGCCAACAGTAAACCTGGGTCAGCCAAGAAGTTAGTGATCAAGAACTTTAAAGGTAACATGCTGCTGCCATTAGCTCCATTACTTTGTCGTTTACATGGAAGGGTGGGACATGTTCCCTCCTGCCCTACCCATGGGATTAGTCCTTAGTGAACATGAGGCCTGTCACCCAGTCTCCACTGTTCCTAGTGTCATAGTTTGGTTTTTTTTCTCTAAACAACAAAAAAAGCATATATGCAAGAAAGAAAACAGGTGTACTCAAATATGCCAGTGGGTTGAGGTTAAACTTCCTTTTAGAAGTGCTGCAGCTCAAGGGTAGATTACATGGTTTCCATACAGAAGATCCCAGGTTCAGTCTCTGCCATCAGGAAGCAGAACTGGACAGTGAATTCAATTACCTCAGGAAGTGGTGAGTGCCTCAACACTGGAGGCATTCAAGAGAAACTTAAATAACCATCTGGCAGATATCCTTTGACTTGTATTCCTGCATCAGGCAAGGGATTGGACTTGATGGCCTTATGGGCCTCTTCCAACATCACTATTTTATGATTTCCAACTCACCCAAGAACCACTGCCCAACAGTATAGATGAGTTGGCTTGGGGCCCTCCAGTTATTACAGAATTTTTACTACTGCTTTGTTTAATTATTGGCCATGTTGGCTAAGGGCACCAGCATCTGGAGACCCATACTCTTCCCTCTAATAGTATAAGACATTACTAAGCTAGATGAACATAGGATGTGTTTCAGAATATCACAGTTTCCTCTCTTCCATTGTGTAAAAAGAGGGATCATGTTTTCCCTTCTGCAGTGTGTACAGTCTAATTATTTTGACTTGAACAGTGGGAGCCACTGAGAAGAGAGCCACTGTTCTTCAGCATGCTTCCACTCCTTTGGCCTGCACATGCTTTCTCTGGCATCCATTTCTTAGTGCACAATTAGTAAGTGATGGAATTATGAGGAGAAAAGAAGGAATGTTGACAGTATTTTTTGGATGATTTAATTGTAATTGAATAAACCTTTTCATTGATTTGCATGTATTATTGTGTTTCTCAAACTCTTGAGAAACTTTAGACCTTCTACAGACAAATATGTGGAAATTCACAAACACCTTTCTGTGCAGAGTCCTGTTGCTTACTTTGAGGATGTGTGCACTGGTGCAGAAGTCCTATATAAGCATTGGACATGACATTTTTTCATTTTGTTCTGAAACTACAAGCGGGAAGTTTCCATTAGAATGAAGCAACAGCTCTTGCTGTTTCTGCCAAACTGATTGGATCCTTTCTGTACATTGGATATGAACTGCTACAAATTCTTTACTGGGGAAGTTGATGGACGATCCTTCCTTGAATATTATATCCTTTAAAATGGGTCTGCCCTGTGGTTTTAAAACCTAGCAGAGTATTCCAAGGTGACAAACATTAGCATGTTGAAAAAATGTTACTCCTAAACATTTCACTTAGGCATGAATAAGGGGATGTTCAGTGCAGACACAGAAATTGTAAAAACCAAAGTCAATCCTGTCTTGAGTTGTACAGCTAGGTGAGGTGCTGCATGTCAGATTAGAACAGTTGTGCCTCTCAGACAAGCTGAGCTGCCAAAGGGGGTCCTGGAAAAGCAGTTGCCTATCAGTTGCCATTCACTAGTGATCCCCTGCATTTTTATGGGCGGGAAAGAAAACTGTATGATACCAAAAGTAATATATGCTCCTACTTTAAAGCAGACCTAACACATTTTTCTCGGTGAGATTGATGCTTCTTTCTGTATTATGTGAAATAAACTTTCGCTCATTAGATTTTGTTATTTAATATATGTAATAGATAACATTGTTTCCTAGTATTGCATGGTTATTTAATCAAATCCAGGACTAAAAGTTTTATTTATTCTGTCCACTTATCTAAAAATATTCCAGGCAGTGCCAGTGACATATAACGTATTAGTTATCTGTTACTTTTAAACAACATACGTGGCCACATGAAGAATAAAACAGTAACTTCTGGCTTTACAATACAAGTGCACTTCATACTAGTTAACTATTTGTTGTTTTCCATTCCTTTTTTTTGCCCCCGGATCACACGGGCCTCCTTGGCAAATTAATGGTTGTATGTATGTACTGTATTGTGAACTTCAGTCTCTCTCTATTCCTTTTCTCTGCTCTATGCACGATTTACTGTAATGGGAGTGTGAGGGTTGGATTTTTAAAATTAAGTCAATAATTAAACAAAAAAGGCACCTGCTATTATTACTTTTACTATAAATAGGATATGGTTAAGGCTCATGAAGTGATACATGACAACAAGAATTGCATTTTGTATCATTTACATTGCATTTTATATTATTAGTGGAGTAACTATCAACAGAAAATTAAACAACAGTTAGACTCTACTACTAAACTCTTAATACTTAGGCATGGGTAAGAGGCAAAAGAGTTTGTCCATATATTTATCTTGGAATTATGCTGAGCAGCAGTCAGGGAAACACCTCCATATATGTTTTGCTGGCTCAAACATTGCATAGATTATCTGTTTAAGAAAACATTGCTTAAATTGATCCAAGAGGCTATGGTAAGGCACATTCTCCATGTAAGCTGGATCACTGTTTAAGACTTCATTGATTAAAGCCTTCAATCATGCCCAGATGATACTAAAGTTGTAGTAGTCATGTAATGTGTAATCCTTCCATACCAGGAGACAGGCTTCTGCACTATCTGCTACCTGAAGCTTCTGAACAATCCTCAGTGACAAATTGGCATACATCTCTTTCTGAAAGAATGCAGGCTTTCTAGATCCAAATCTGAAAGAAAAACCAGCCTGTTGCTTCAATCAGCTAATTAACGTATCTATCTAATTTAAATGGAAAGTCTGTGGGACTCATATAACCGACTTAGTTCTACTGTATGTTTTGTTCATTCTAACCTAACTGCTTCACTCTATAACAGTGGTTCCCAACTTTGGGTTCTCAGATTTTCTTTGACTACAATTCCCAGAAATCCTGGCCAGTACAGCTAGTACTGAAGGCTTCTGGGAGTTTTAGCCCAAGAACGTCTGGGGACCCAAAATTGGGAACCACTGCTCTATAAGCCTGTAGTTTAGCTGACATCCATACCTTTAGGAGTTAATACTTGTTTGGTCTTAACTTTGAAGAAATAATAAGTCAGTAGTATTACGATACTTGCCAGGCAAAAGTTAGTATGCTAAGTCATTCCTAGAGACTCTTCTTAATCTTCTTTCTTCTAGAAATTCTGACACAGAAGTAAATTTTGACTTCTATTGAAAAACTTATGTGTTTTCATCTCCTTGGTTTCATAAATTATGCATTTGTTGCACAGGATTCTAAAAATTTTGATATCTTTCAGATAAGCCTAAATTGCCTGAAAATTACACAGATGAAACTTGGCAAAAACTAAAGGAAGCTGTAGAAGCTATTCAGAATAGTACTTCAATAAAGTATAATTTAGAAGAGCTGTATCAGGTAAGCATGAAAACTTGAAATCCTCTTTTGATCCTTGGATATCTAACTTTGAGCTCTAACTTCCAGAAAGAAATCTCCCAGCTGGCACTGGGGCAGGAAAAGGACGCTTGAGCAAAACTACTTCTCAGAGTCTTCCAGTGTAGGCCTTTCCCCAGGATGTGACACATTTAGGTGTCTATCTTTCAGGTAGAACTCCCAGAATGGACAATTATGACATTTGTTCAAAACATTCCATCCATAGCTTGTTCGTCAAATTAAAAAAGTCAAAAGCCTGCATCGCAGTAGAATCCCTATTTTAAGGTATTCCTGATCATGGGCAACATAAATGACACACTTTGCTTCTGAGTTTGTGTTTACCTGCTTGTATTAAAATAGAAAATTATGCTGGAAAAAAAATCCAAACTTCAGCTTCAAATACTTGGACACTTGGGGTTTTGCTAAGGTTGCCAAGATGTATGCCATTTAAAAGAAACTTTTCTGATTTTACTTCATCTTTGCTGATGGTCTCTCAGTTCTTTCCATATTGTCATTTGCTATCCTACTACTATATTCATAGTAATGATGTTTGGTTTTTTTCCTTATCTATCTGAAAAGTAATAATTTACCTATATATTAAAAAGGAATTGGTGAATTTTTGGTAGGATCATCTTCTCTTTTTCATGATTTCCTTTATGACCTTTCCTTTCCATGTGCTACTTCTGATAATATATTTGTCCAGAAGTGCTAAATCATTGTATGCTTGATATTAAACTGTATATTTCTCCACAGATACATAATATGATCAGTGTGATTCAATTAAAAAAAACTACATCATTTTGACATATGTGTTAGGCTTTTATAATAGGCCCCAGAGTTAAATGCAGTCTTAAGGAAAAGATTAATGAACTAATGAAATATTATAGTTTAATATTTAGTTTAATAGTCTGTGGTTTATTACACATGATGCATTAATGTCGATAGTTTAATAGACCTTAATGAATCATTATTTCATTCAGATTTCTTTTGTACTACAATATTTCACAGATGCATTACAGCCATTGGTGAAAACTAAAATTTAATCATATATGTTTCTGTGAAATTACTTTGCATTTTATTCTGTTTGGTACAAATTTCTTTCTGTTTTGACTTTTGTGATGTATCAAGAATAGATTTTTGCCCCACACATTGTTCCTTCCCAGTTGGTTACTAATATCTTTTTAAAGGGCTAAATGAACCTGCGGCCTAAATCTACTGTATTCTGCAGCACCTTCATTTCATGTCTGTTTTATTTTTAAGCTTTGAAATTGCTATTTGGATTACTCTATCTTTAAATGAGCCCATTGTTTACTTAATGCAGACAAATTAATGTTACTGTTTAAACTATCATTGTTAGAAAATGTTTTGCATTATTTTCTAAACCAAGACATGTGAAGTTTGGAAAAGATTGATGGACAAAATTATATAACTATTTTAGACAAGCTCCTTAAACTGGAATGGCAAAAATCTTAGTAGAATTCATTCTTTTGTTCTGTTGTCATCTAAAACAAAGAATTCCACATTTTTGTATGAAAATCAGAACCTACGTACTGTTTAGCAGCAGCCACAATGGTAGCTCCAATAGACTCATTTGTATCCTTAACAACTCCTACGTGGAACCAAGGTCAAATCCTACAGCTACAAAATGGAGTTTGTGGAGCCTAGATTAGTATACCTAATTAGTATAGGGAAAAGTGGATAATTCATTCAGCAGTTTATGGATAAGCTGTCTCAGCATACTTAGATACTGTATGTCCATTCATAGAAATTTGTCACTCTTTTGAGTTCAAGACCTTAGAGCCATGGTCCTCAACCTTGGGCCTCCAGATGTTCTTGGACTACAGCTCCCAGAAGCCTTCACCACCACCTCTGCTGGCCAGGATTTCTGGGAGTTGAAGTCTAAGAACATCTGGAGGCCCAAGGTTGGGGACCACTGCCTTAGAGGATTCCTTACCCAGTGTGTGTTCAAGGCAACTTCCTGGCCAGAACAAAGAATTGTGAAAACAGAGCAGAAGTATTTTCTTTTGACACTTTTTATTTGGATCTATTTTTAACACCTTGAGTATAAAAACAACATGGGTGTTAAAAATAGTCATAAAAATTACTGACGAAGCCTATATAAATAAAATACCCCTTAAGAACAGCTGCCTGCTAAATAGCTCCAATTTCAAATGTGCCCCATTGTTTGAAACACGATAGGCCCTTTTCTCCCACCTACCTCCAGAGAATTTCTTCATGTCTTGCTTTGATCTCCAGTAAGCTTCTTAGCACACTGCTTCCCCAGCCTTTACAATCCTTGTAAGGTGGTAGCAAACGTCTTGATTGTCCCACTTCTTCGTTTTTCCTTAATAGATCTTTGAAGTGAATCTATACATACCAGATCATTTTTCCTATTCCTGTGGAATTCTTCATTTAGTTTGTACACTTAACAAAGTTGGTTTAACATCATAATTTTGGGCTGTATTTGAACTTAGGCCAAGAGCAATTTATCTGTGAAATTCCACCAGCAGACCTGGTGCTTTTCAAAGGAGTATAAGCAAAAGTCCCTCCCTCAGAGAGCATAAAGCTTAGAGACTGTAATGGTGTTTAAACCAGTTGAAAGCACTTACACAGATTGCATATATTATGCAAAGCAGTTTACTTCCAAATAAATTTCAATACAGTGGGGTCTTGACTTGAGAACTTAATCCATATTGGAAGGCGGTTCTCAAGTCAAAAAGTCTGTAGGTCAAGTCCCCATTGACCTACAGTGCATTGAAAACCGATTAATCCTGTAACAGGCCGTTTTTGTTCTATTTTGTTTTTTTTCTGATCTGTAAGTCAATTCTCAGGCTGCAAGTCAAACCTAAATTTTGCGGCCAGAGAAGTCTGTAACTCAAAAAGTCTGTAAGTCAAGCTGTCTGTAAGTCAAGGGTCCACTGTATAGATAATGCCCTTAATCAATGACTTTAGGATTGCAGCCTTGAATGTAAATACTTGTTGATTGGAATGATAATCTCAAGTAAAATCAGACACTCTAGATCTTTCCCAGCAGTTCTATTTTGGGGGCACATTCTTAAAGTGATAGTATTATTTATCTAAAATATTGCTCATTTGGTAATCTGGCATTCTGTGGCTTTCCTCTTTTCTACGTTTTTTTGGTGTTATTGCTGGGGTATGAGATGAAATCAGTCTCCAATGCCCAGGGTATCGGTTCAGGATGTGTAATCCATTATAGCTCTAGATGTTTTAGCTTTCTGAAGCAGCAGCAAAATTCAGCAGTAGGTGTTTGGGGTTCCTGTTTAAATGAATATTTTTTGATAGATGGGGAGATTAACAGACTACGTATATCCAAAGTCTGCAAGTGACTGAAAACCTTAATGGTGTTAGCAAGCAAATGTAGACCCTTTCAGAATTAGAATGGCATCCATGCAAAAAAAACTAGAACCAGATTGGATGTGCTTCAGATATTTTTGGAACCATATGGTCTCAAAGCAGATTGTAGTCCCCTTTTAAAATAAACATTATGCTATGTGGAGTCATTATGACTGGGAGCCTGATCTGTACTTTAACTAATGCGAGGCTCACATCAGCTATCTTTCCCTTTAATGTCACAACAGTTGCTTTCTGCTGATTTGCTTGCAGCTCCCTAATGTGCAATGTAACACGTAGGAGCTTATTTCTCTGCTCCTCTGCTGAATTGTTTAGTACACGAAAAGGTCTTTGGATGGGGAAATTTTCAAAATCCCTGCATGGATTTTTGCCTTGCTTTTACTGAACTCTCTTATTTAAAAGTGTTGGGATAAGATTCCTCTTATTATCTATTGATCCTCTATGTCATTGTTATTGTCTTCATATAGCAGGCAGGGCTGGTGAGCGATGTATATAAGTTGTTTCCAGAGAAATTATATTATCACTTCAAATGCTATTTGCTGTCCTATTTAAATCTCAGTTCATTAGAAAGATGTCTAATCTTCATAGATATTGCCCTAGGCTTCTGGGAAGGTGAGCTGAGTAGATAGCTGGAAGAGAATGTAACATATTTGTTTTGTAACTATAATGCATTGAATAAAGGTGTATCTTAAATAAATAAGCTCTCATCTTGGTGATCATATGTGTTTTTTAGAGGAGGATAAAACAGTATGCATGTTGCATGCAAACTCAGGATGTCATTCCTTTCCTTTATTGATTTGTAGCTAAGGATCAAGTGAACAGTGATCAGAGTTCCACTCATGCTATGGCTCTTTCCTGCCCTCTCCCCTTTGGAGCCCTTGTCACCCCTGGAAAGCTACTTTTTGGGGTTGAAGGAATTTGGAATTATTGCTGTGGCTGGTAACAAATGACATGCCGAATTGGTTGGAAAGTGTCTTCATACAGCATTGGGCTTCTCTAGAGAATAATGCTTGAAGTACTCCTCCTTTGCTAACTATTGTCGCTATATCAAGGAGATCTGGATTTTTGCTTGTTGAAATATCATGTAAATAAGTTTGCATTGGAAATGAGTCCAGAAAATGTGTGCTTTATCTAGACCGTCTCTTTTTTTTTTCCAGGCTGTTGAAAATCTCTGCTCCTACAAGATCTCTGCAAATTTGTACAAACAGTTAAGACAGATTTGTGAAGATCATATCAAAGCACAGATTCATCAGTTCAGAGAATATCCTTCTATAACTGAAAGGAATTTTGTTAGCTATATGCTACGCTTGGGTATTGTTCTAACATCATAGTTTAAGAATCTCTCAAGTACCATTCTCTGTGGTTGTGCCACAACTATGTGGTGCCAGTCTAGACCTTTGAGCAGGAGTAACATGGAACATAATCATGCATGCCTGTTCAGAAGATGTATTCCCTTAGTTTGAAGAAAACAGAAAAAGAGTATTAGTAAACTAATTACTAAAAATACAAGTAATATCCACTCATCCACATCACAGATGCTTTTGCTGGAGCTATGGAAAGGAAGACTGCAGAGATAAGTGTTTCAATAGGAGCAAGAGTTCAGCTTTTCATAATTAATGATGATGATGATGATGATGATGATGATGCAGATAAACTGCCAGGTCAATTCTGACATGGCGAACCTCTCCAGAGTTTTCTAGATATACTGAGAAGTAGTTAACATTCCTTTTTTTCTGAGGGCAGTCTAGGGCTGTGCAGTTTGCCTGAAGCTACACAGGCTGGCTCTCCTCCCAGGAGACACATTGGGAAATCTAGTTCCCAGCCTCTTCCCTGCAGTCCAGGTACCTAACTCAGTAATAGAGCATAATGTGTTCTTCTATTTTGTCAATTAATATATGACTCAATCTGGAGAAGCATGCATTTCACTCCACATCTCGTGTTCCTTTTCTGATCTTTTGCTAGGGTGAGGTTTATGTCTTATATTTTTAAAACTTGCCAGTTTACAGTGTGGAGATGATACTCTCTGTGGCATTTCAGTATCCTCAAGAACCTCTTAGTTGTGGCTTTTGTTCTTACAAGGGTTACAATCCAGAGTGTGCCCTCATCAGTCTTCTTCTGTCATTCCTCCTGAGCATTTCCCTATTAAACACCAAAACAGATCTTTAATCCTTAAATCTTTAATGTTCAACTCGTTGTCTGCAGTGAGAGCTTTTGAAAGGAATACAGCAGTAACCCTAACCTGTTGGAATGTGCAAATGATGTTCTAGAAGCAGAGGAAGGTCAGATTAATCTGGACTTTAATATTGTAGGTGGGAAATTGACTTTAAAAACATTGGCTGCCTTTTCTTTCATGGCTGTACTCTTGTCAGTTTCAGTGGAATTCTTCCACAACAACTGTTCGTTTAGCATAACTAACCCTTTAGCATCAAGGGATTCCACAACAACTGTTCGTTTAGCATAACTTACCCTTTAGATTAGCATCAAGGGGAAGCTGGTATGTACCATTTTCATTGGTCTTTCATTGGTGTAAACATCTTTTATGTAATCTGTCCTAAGTGGACTATACTAAAATGTAGACATAATTTTTAAAAGAAATGGGAGTGGGCAGAATGTTTCAAAATGAATCAGCCCTGATGCGGAAGAGCAATAGATCGCTGGAGGGTGATGACTGTATTTCGCCTGTTTTGTTAGCATTCTTAACTGCTTCATCATGGATTCATTGGATAGCGTTCTTTTTCTCAAGAAAATAGATAAATGTTGGCAAGACCATTGCAGACAAATGGTAAGTGTTACTTTCCTTCTATCGGGAACCACAAAATCCTTGATGTTATACAGTATATTTCAGTTGCCTTATAACCTCCCTTTAGAAATTGACAACCCAAACACCAAACTTGGGAAAAATAAGCTCATTCAGATGCATAAAAGAAATGGGTTAAAATTTAACCACCCCATACTGCCTACAGTATCTGTCTTTTAAAAGATAGACAAAACAAAATTTGTTTCTAGAGGTGTTCTGATGCTGATGTTTGGAGGAAGGGAGTTTCACTGAATAATGGGAGAGAGGAGGGACCCTTGGACTGGCTATGTTGTGGTTGAAGCCTGCACTTTGAAGGAAGAATTAGGAGAGCAGGCTTTATTCATTTTAAGGTCCGGGTGAAATTTAAAATCTGCTTGTATAATTTTGCTTTATGAAGCTGCAATCAGTGACTATTAATATATGGAAGTAAATTGAAATATTTCTTTATAGTTAATGAACACTCTTAGGTGGGCATTTTTAGGACTTTGGTCACATGACAGATCTCAGATTGTGTGCATGTGATAGACATAGTGCTTAAAATGTTTTAAAATATCATTGACTTGTTTTTTCCATTACAGATAATGATTAGAAGTATCTTTTTGTTCCTGGACCGAACCTACGTTCTTCAAAATTCAATGTTGCCATCAATTTGGTGAGGATGAAAAAGATACTATTGATTTTAGACTTCCAAACATTTAATTAAAATATGGATTAGCAGTTTTTCTTCCCTTCCTAACTAAGTGATGACAAGTTCACAGTGAACAGAAGTGTCATAGAAATGTGTTTCCTGTTATGTGTCTCCCTGCCCCTTTCCATATCTTTCATTAAATATTAGCTTTTTAGTTGTTGTGGGTTTTTCAGACTCTTTGGCTGTGTTCTGAAGGTTGTTCTTCCTAATGTTTTGCCAGTCTCTGTGGCCGGCATCTTCAGAGGACAGCACTCTGGCCTCTGTCTTGCACACAGCGATGAGGCAGTAGTTCCTGATAGGCCTAATAATTATTCTAGGACAGCACATTACTTGGACAAAAAGACTGTGTTAAGCTTAGAAAGCATAAGACTTTGTATACATTTATACACCTAAGGGCAATACAGTGTCTTTGGTTTAGTAAAATTCCGCTTCATTACAGCAGTGTTTTTTGTTCCAGGGACATGGGACTTGAATTGTTCAGGACACATATAATTAGTGATCAGAAAGTCCAGAACAAGACCATTGATGGCATTCTTCTGTTGATTGAGAGGGAAAGAAATGGAGAAGCTATTGATAGGAGCCTGCTCCGTAGCCTTCTAAGTATGCTTTCAGATTTGCAGGTGGGTAGATTTTCCATATATTAAATAAAAATATCAATGGTAAGCAAAATGAGTGTCCCAGTATTAATCCCTTTCTGTCCTCCCTAGATTTATCAGGATTCTTTTGAGCATAGATTCTTGGAAGAAACAAATCGCCTATATGCAGCCGAAGGACAGAGGCTCATGCAAGAAAGAGAGGTATTTCATTAGCTTATTGCTCACGTGTTCCATAAGCATGCTAAACTTCTGGCTAAGAAAGGAAAGCAGTACCTCCCATGACACATCCTGCTGTGCTGAGACAGGCCACCAGGAAGCACTGCAGCAGCAGGAATATGACTTAAGAGTTTGGTTCATGGGAATTATTGTGTGTAATTATCAGCATGCTCAGTCATTTTCTTTTGCTTTTCTCAATGATTTATCCTGTTTGCCAGGTTCCTGAATATCTTCATCATGTGAACAAACGTTTGGAAGAAGAGGCCGATAGGATTATCACTTACTTGGATCAAAGCACTCAGTAAGTGTGTAATCTCCCTCCAGCTGGTGTGTTAGAATTCTTAACAATGTTGTCCTTCTTGCTAGAGTATAAGAACACATCTTAGAGGCATTGAATACTGGAAAAGGTGGTGATATGATTATAATGGTGATAATCCCGAAATTCTAAAGTCAGTGCTTTTGCAAACATGCCACCTTACCCATAAATTTTTAGGCTTGACCCTTGAGACTGCCCCTGCATCAGCAACGCTGAGAAAAAAGAAGTATATCTTTTGTAAGGATGATGATGATATGCCCATAAATTTTTAGGCTTGACCCTTGAGACTACCCCTGCATCAGCAACGCTGAGAAAATATATATATATCTTTTGTAAGGATAATGATATGCCAACAGGCCAATTCAAAATTATGGTGACCTTTTCCAGGGTTTCCTAGATATAGAGCATACAGAAATGGTTGATCACTGCCCTCTTCTGAAGGTCCTCAAGAATTTTGTAGCTTGCCGCCCAGAGTGGTATGTACAGAAATGGTTGATCACTGCCCTCTTCTGAAGGTCCTCTAGAATTTTGTAACTTGCCTAAGATCACACAAGCTTCTCCTGCACAAAATAAATAAATAAATAAATAAATGCCTAAGATCACACAAGCTTCTCCTGCAAGGTACAATGGGGAATTGAACTCCCTACCTCTGGATTTGCCCCATTGCTCCAACTCACTAAGCTATCCAGCCAGCTGGTCATATGACAGTCATTTTCTAAGTATCTGATGGGCTGATATATGGGAGATGGAGCGAAAGGGTAGGTTATATTGGTATCCCTGGTCTTTACAAAAAATACCATTTACAAAGATGACCAAAATTTGCACTGTCATTTCATACCACACAAATAGGTGCAAACGAGACCTAAATTAGTAAATGGAACAGTGATTGTTTCAAAGATCAATAGATGATTGCCCTATTTTATGAGAAGGAAGGGGAATCTGTGGTCCTCCTCTCTGCCTTCTCCTTCCTAGAAGCCTCCTTCAACTTGGCTAATGTTAAGGGATTTAGGAGAGATCATTCAAAAAATGAAATACCAACGATTACCTGCCCAGGGAGACTGAAAGGAAAGATACCTCTTTTAAAAAACATAGCGATTCATAAGTATACAATAGGTGGAGCTCATCATATGAAGACTAGCTTTTCCTGGTATTCCATTTAGATTCAAAGCGGTGAAGGGGTGAGCCAAAGGAATATAATTCTAAATACTTTTTCCTATAGGAAACCACTAATTGCTACTGTAGAAAAACAGCTGCTAGGTGAACATTTAACAGCCATTCTACAGAAAGGTAATCTATCTTTCTTTATAGAAATCTTTCTTTACTGCTTCTTCGGGGTTTTCAGTTCCCTGTGATGAATGGAAATAACCCAGTCAGGTGCTGCTTCTCTAACCCCGCTTTGCCTACCCAGTTCATGACATAGCGCTGAACAATATTCAGGAGGGGGACCTGCAAGTCCTGTTCTCCTCCTCAGAGGTAAGGAGCCACGGTAGTGCCAATCAGATGAATTTCAAAGTAAGAATGAGTAGTTAATTAAAAGAGTACCAAAGGCAAATAAGAATGACAGTTGTCTGATAACACTTGTCAGTTGTGTGCCAAGCCACAGTAGAAACAGCTAAAGAAAGGCTTTACTCTGCAACCCGCAACTGCTTTCCTTCCTCGTCTTTAAACTCTGGAATGAAATTCACCTTTTGCTCCTTAGAATAATGTGTTTTTCAGTGGGACACTGTGAAAGCTGCCTCTCTTGAAGAACTATTAATATTACCAGTCAGCCTCAAACCACATCTTGGTAGAGTTGAGACACGATATTAGAAGCATTTCCATTTAGGTTTTTGAGCAACTTACAGAAATGTTGCCCATGTTGAACTAAAGCTGGAGGAGAATAATGAATCCTTGCATAAGAGAAGCTGAGCTAGATTAGACCCAAAGTCGATCAAATCCAACATTCTGTTCTCATGGTGGCCAAGTGAATCTCTCTGAGAAGCCCACAAATGGGGCACAAATCAGTAGTAACTTCTAGCTCTGAACTGGCCAGTTCATGCTGAAGGTGTACAAGGTGGAGAGTAGAACGTAGGCAAGTAGGACTTTCAGTGGTCTCCATGAAATGGCCCAGGATGGTTGTAACACTAAACCATGTATTATAGGAAGAGGTCTGTTCAACTTTCAGGCATTCTTCCTTTCCTCCTTTAAATGTGGTTGTGGGCATATTAGAAGGAACTGCTTCCTTGTTTAAACTAACTGGAGTTGCATTCAAACCGGACCAAGCTGCAGTTGGCCAATCTCTCTCAGAAGAGCAGGCAGCGGGGACCTTTTAAGCTGTAGCAAGCTTATTTGTACAAAGTTCATGGGGTTTAGTGCCTCATCTGAACCGTGCCAACACCCCCTTATCATTTCAAGTCTGTTGTAGCTCACCCATTTGTGGCCTTTCCCCTTTGTGTGCCTAGCTCTTTCCGTATTCTGAACTATATGGGCCTTCCAGAGCCTGTTCACTTTTGCCTTGAACCTAAAATGGTAGCAGGAGGAAATTGTCTTTTGGATTAAGCTGGAGTAGAAAACTGTTTTGTTTGGATGAACATGCATTACTTTGGAGTAACTGATGCCCCATTTGAATATTGCAGGTTTAAATCACCTCCTTGATGAAAACCGAATTCAAGATTTATCTCTCCTATATCAGTTGTTCAGTAGAGTGAAAAATGGAGTGCAAGCTCTCCTGCAGCAGTGGATTGAGTATATAAAGGTATCCTGCATGGTTTGCCTTTCGTGTGCTTTTACTGGTGACAACCAACCTTAATTTGATTGGCGTGGGGAAGTTCCCTGTGCAATAGCAGGTTTATAGGCCATATTTTATTTGATTGTTGTGAGGATAAAAGCAATTTTGTTTGAAAAGAATGGCTAGGGAAGTAATGTTGTTTGAAAGTTTTGAGAGCCTTTAACTGGTACCGTCGCACTTGGTTCTCTGATGAGAGATGGTTTAAGAAGATGTTGTTTGATGTACCTTATGCAAGTGGTCATAAGACTGCTTTGCCATGCACTTAGAGCTGGACACAGCATGCCATTCCAGATTTTCAGCAAGTTTGCTATCAGAACAAAATATATTATTTGGATTATTGGGGACTGGGCACATGTTCAGTAGTTCTTCCATCCATTTAATTGTGTGTCACAGGAGGCTGAAAACCGTAAACAATTCCCACTGTTTTGAAACTTCAAATGCACATGTGAGGCAGCCCTT